CAGGCCTGTGGATTTGTTGTTCCTTAGGGATTTGATCGCTTTTTCAACTTCAGCCCTGGTAGGGGGTTCACAGCTTATATCAAGTTCCTGGTTTGAGCTGGTGGCAGTATTGGAGATTTCATTGGGTGAGGCCTATTGAGGAGCTTTTGAAAGTGCTCTACCCATCTTCTGTGTTGCTCCTCTGTTGTTGTTAGTAGACGGCCATTTAAATCCCTAATTTGGTGGTTTGTTGCCTTAAACTCCCCTGAGAGTTGCTTAGTTGTATCATAAAATGTCGTCATGCTATGTTGCCTAGCTGCAGCCTCTGCTTCTTTTGCTAAGTCATCAATGAACTTTCTCTTGTCCTTCCTCACACTTTTTTTAACATCCTTGTTTGTTTCAGTGTACTAGGCATGGGCCCTCTCCTTTGCAGTCTTGTGCGTGCCCTGTTAAGGTTCTCTTTCTTTGATCTTTTCAAGATGACCTTTGAGATGGTGTCTTTTGATATCCAACCTTTGCTATGTTGTTTCTTTCGCCCAAGTATTTCCTCACTTGCTTCTGTCCATACCTTCTTCAGGCTATCCCAACTTTTGTCTATTGGATCTCTGGAGTCCTGCATATCTTGGAGGGCTTGGTATTTATTCCTGGTCGTAATAGAAAATTGCTGGGCAATAAAGGGATCTAAACTTCCTTGATATGCAGACGTGGTCTATCTGGTTCTCAACAGTATAGTTGGGTGAGACCCATGTGGCTTTATGTATTCTTTTGTGCAGAAACACGGACCCTCCTAACACCAGTTCATGCTTGGCACACAAATCTGCAAACCTCTCCCCATTATTGTTCATGTCCCCTAATCCATGACTTCTTCATAGCCGATGTTACAGTTTCCAATCTTGGCGTTCATATCGCCCATTAAGATGGTCAGTTCTGTCTGTGGTCTGTTGCTGCCCAACACACTTTTGATAAAACTGGTCCTTTACCTCATCACTAACCTCATTTGTAGGTGTATAACACATGATCAATCGAACGAGGATCCTTTTTTGTTTCGTTCTAAAAGTGACTGTCATTAAGCTAGAGCTTACTAGCTGCCAATCAATGAGAGCCTTCTCCGCCTGTCGAGATAGCATGAATCCTACCCCTTCAGTGTGTGGTGCCCTGTTATGGGTATGACCCGAGTATAATATCAGCTCTCCTGTGGAGAGACGGAATTGGCCCGTTTGAATCCACCTTGTCTCTGCAATCCCAAGGAGGCTGATGTTATGCCTCTTCATCTCCATCGCAACAATGGATGCCTTTCCCAGTTCGTACATCGATCTTACATTCTTAAATTACAAGCTGCAATTACTATGAACTGTTTTGAAGAAAGGAGAATCGAAAAAGTAGGTATCCGATGTTGCTGGCTTTGCCTACGCGACGTAATGCACTAACAGGGTGAACTCCCTCCCACAAGACAGCTGGTGTATGTTTGGTGCTTCATCTGTGTTTCTGTAACAGTGGTATTTTTACTAGGTGGGGTTGTTAGCCCAACGCTAAACCCCCAATAACCTGGAGGGCCGGTATATTTTCTGTTACGGTTCCTTGTTTTAACCATGAGTTCCGGTTATTAAGGCGCCGGAATCTCGCCTTCCATCATTTCCACTCAGCTGCAGCATTGCTACATTACTAGGGTTACGAGAGGGACGTATGGAATCTGATTTGCTGGCAGAGCCTATGATGGCGATGGGCATTTCTCAGTATTTATGAAGCGCACCTGATGGCACCAGTATGCTTCACTGAGACCCCTTACCAGCCTTCAACCCCCCAGCCCCTATTCTAATATTATAATATTTTCACGCGACAAGGATCCTTTCGACAAAATCATTGTAGGCAATGTACTGCTAGCTTTCGTTATGCGTGCCGGCGAGAGTGCTGACCTGGACCAGAAATAAAATGGAATGCGTAGAACTTTGTAATTTTCATTTCTGCTGCACATTGATTTTTTGCCAGCCAATGAAAAAAATTCACATTTTTTGGTGCATTCAGAGCTACTCATCAACGACATTTTAAAACGAGTAGCACTGGGGATGAGAATGCTACCAAAGCTCTCCGTTTCGCCGACCGTGACCAAACGAAATGGAAGCTCTGCAGGGGACGAGAATAATAACAACTCTAAGAGTAATAATTACTCCTACTCATTCATTATTGAAGATATGACTTGTTAATACGTGGGCAAAATAGAAACGTACAGTCAAACCTGTATTAAGCAGACCCCATATTAAACGGACACCCTCTATTAAGTAGATAGCAGTGCAAGTCCCACTTTTCTTTTCCCACATTCACTGTAAAAAACACCTATATTCAACGAACACCTCTATTAAGCGGACGCGGACACCTTAAACATGACTTTTATGGTCATTTCTATTGTTAGAAACCTGTATCAAACAGACACTGCATGCAAAAAGAATGCATGATTTTTTTGTCTTCGTTTTAGTAGATTGAACATTTATGTTTGCCGATAAACTGGGCTGTCACAGAAGTGCAATATTTTGTTTTTAGGTTTTGTTTTTACAGAACTTCTGTTCTTGTTTGATTTTGTAAACCTTCACAGGATTCGATCAATATAGATACTGTTACTGTATACTTAAATCGCTTTACCGCATACATACTTGTCTTTGTTTATGGAAATACGGTATTTCAGAATTCTCGACTGTTCCCGAGAATGCCATTTGACCCTTTTAATACTGACGAATATTGATATGACCTGTCTTCAGACTGCTCAATTTTCTGTATAGTATTTTGAAATTGAGGGTGGCTTGGATCAACATGACACAAATCTCACTACCGGAAATCCTCGAATTAGCACTTGAGGCACTTATTTCAAATTTAGGAGCAGACGGGGTGTGGGGAGGGCTTAATTGAGGGGGACGCTTATTTAATTTTCCCAAATGGTGGTCAGTCTCAGGAGGGTCCTGTCTCTCTTGAAGAATCACGTAATTTAATCGCTTTAGCTGGTCTAGGCCTGCTGCACATGGTTGGTTGGGTTTTAGGCAATGAATCAGCAGATCTTTGCTACAATCCATTCCGACGGTCAATTTGCAGTGCCTGAATGAGTTGATAATCACTTGCTTGTGATTGGACACCACCAAACCTATACATTCTTTGTTGTCTCAGACTCTTCCGTAAAACAGGGGGAGGGGGGTCCTTATTTGAGGGGAGGCGCTTATTTTAAATTTTGGCTGATAGGAGGGGCGCTTATTCGAAGGAGGCACTTGTTTGAGGGGAGGCGCTAATTCAAGGATTTACGGTATTTACACTGCATCACTCCACTCTTATTTTCAGTGAACTCGGCAAAGTATAAAAATAAGAGAATCTGAGAGCAACAGACCCATGTATGTACAAAATTTGGCTAAGCGGTTATGCAAAGTGGCTGTGTGAAAATGATAACCATAGTGATATACATAATTATAAAGCTTTAATACATAGATGTCTTTTTAAAAAAAAAAAAAAAAAAGCTTTTAAGTGTCGTATTTGTATTTTCTGTTTTTAATGACTATCAGAGTCAAAATCAAAGGCTCCTGTGAGCAGCTCATGGATGAATGTTTCCTTTTTCCTCTGTTTCAAAACGAGTCTTCGTGCAAAACCTTTCACATAAAAATGAGTTAATGAACCTGTACATGGAAGTCATATGAATGTTTTTGCCCTTAGACTCGTTTTGACATAGAGGCAAAAGGCAACTTGGAAATGGCCTATTGGATGAATGTAGAAAACGTAGTTGAATAAAAAAAAGAGAAGAGGAATTGATCATTGTAGAGTTGTTCTTGGTACTGCAGTGGAAAACAGGAAAAGAAACATCATTTGGTCAAATGTGATGGATAGGTTTTGATGTCCAAATATGGTTGTTTTTGACACCCTTTAGGTGGTTGAATTCATTCTCTGGTAAAATCGTTTTATAATAAATAATTATTTATTACATATTTGAAGTAGACTTCAAGAGCTAGAGTACAACAAAAATCAAGTTGAACACTGCTGTTATTAGGAACATTTTCTTTCTATTTAAGTCCACTGAAATACTGACTACCATAAAGTAGCACATAAAAGCTACGAGGGGAAATTGTAGCTAACAGTCTCTCCTATACATGCAGATCAGATAATACATTTTTTTGCCGAGTTGTAAATGACAAAATCTTTACAGCAGCAGGACACACGTGTAGTAGAAGTACAGCATGATAACAACCACCTTAAGAATTGAATGAAAATTCAACAGGTATAAACAAGCTGGAACAGTTAGGATAGCTTATACTTCAAATAAACATTGCAAGATTTGTATTTAATTAATAGAGAGAAATTTTCACATTCTATTTTTGTGTTCCTTTATGATGGAGGCTAGTATTTTCATTTAATTGTAGTCCTAATATAAAGGACTGATGTTTCTCTACATGTATATGAACCTGATATGGAGCTGCTGCATGTAATTTTAAGTTGAAGTTGTATTTCTGTATTCCACTCTAAAGCTGTAGGTTCTGAGTTAAGCTTTGACACGTAGTGAGTTCAGGTGGATATCACTTGATGACATTCTTAACTTTCAGAAACCTACATGGATAAAGTTCCAAAGTGTTTCAAACTCTGTAATTATACTGTAAATCCTCGAATTAGCGCCCCCCCCTCGAATAAGCGCCCCCCTTCTCAATTAAGCGCCCCCTCATCTTCTCCTAAATTTGAAATAAGTGTCCCAGGAGCTAATTCAAGGATTTACGGTGTGCACTTTGGAGAGCCATTTTATATGCTTGTAACCAATGTCTTTTGCAAAGAATGAGTTTCAACAGCTCAAGTGGCAGCTAACACAAGTGTTAAAAGCGTCTTATTCTCGTCCTAAGTAGGAGTATTCAACATCCATCTGTAATTCTCAGATTAATTCCATTAAGTCTTAAGGGTGACTTGTGTTGTTAAAGCCGGTTTCTATGAAGTCTTTCGATATTATTTTTGGCAGCTGATTAACACGTACAGCATCAGTAATGGTGTTGTTAATATTAACATTTGCTTACTGTCACTCATATTAAAGTATACTGTAGTCGTTACCAGTGTTCATCTAGGTTATTTGCATATGCACAACAGTATAACTTGCTTCACCTGCAATACACAATAAAGATAACAGTCACATATTTTAAAAGAGTATAAAAATGAATGCAGAAAAATTACACATGTATACCTGAAAAATTTATCCTTATATACAGCATCTCCAAATTCTGGTAGAGTTACATGTAATTTTGAAACTCATGAGGACTACAGCTGTAGGAGTTTAGGAACATGAAAAGCACAGGAAATTCAGACCATTATTTGTTTCTGGCAATAAATGTCCTGACTGTTTTCTATATGTGATTAAAATAGTTGCTTGATACATCTAGATATTTATTTGGTTTGTAAAGTTTGATCTTCAGCTAAATTAACTATGATGATTTCACATGATATACACAATGAATTTTTAAACAAATATTCAAACAGCTTTCATGGAAATTAAATTTTAGATAAATAGGCTGATGTTCACCTGCTGATTGTGCACATAATTTGTGGTCCATGATCTATCTGTGTACAGTAGTCATGCAGTAGTATACTGGTTAATCAACTGAGTGTATCGTTTGTCTGTTATAAGATATTTCATTAGAGCCTATTGTTCTGTATTTGCCTGTATTAGATCAATATTGAAATCCCCAAGCAGTACAGCTAGAATTGTGGGTTCTATTAATACTGAGTTGTGAAGATGAGTAAGAGCATGAATTAACTGTGAAATTGTAACTTTCGTTTTTGAGTGATAGATACCAATGACATGAATATTTGGAACTGGTTGGGTTAAAACCATAACAGTAATTTCTAAATTATTCAAGTTACATCTGTATGGACTTTAGTGCAATTCAAAACATTAAAAGGTATATAGCAGCTCCATAGCAAGTTCTTATGTTAGACTGACTGTAGAGATATTGCGTTACGTTATACTGCACGTGCCCTAGCCCATGTTATTTTGATCACCAGTTTGATTTCAGCCAATCAGATGCTTTGTATGATTATTTGATTTCGTAACAATTTAAACACAAGGACCGTCTGTATTTTTGGGAGCCTGCATTGCGTGTAACACTGGGCGAATAAATCACTTAAAGCTGTTTCTTTGTTGTACATTATTACACATCAATTTCGCTACATGGTGTCAGAAGTGGGACGGTCTAATCACATGCCTAAGGATGGCTGACCCTCCAGCACAAGCACAAGCACAAGCAGTACAAGCAGGTATGTCACAGATTTTTGCTCCGCTGTCAAATTTGCCGCCGCCTAAAACGCTAAGCTTTAACGACAACTTAGCCACGACATGGAAATCGTGGAAACAAGCATGGAAACGCTACGAAATCGCCACCGGCATGCACAAACAAGAAGGTGTTGTTCGCGTCTCGACTCTATTAAGCATCATTGGCGAGGACGGTGTCAACGTCCACGACACCTTCACGTGGAATGAAGGAAAAGACCAAAATGACATCGAGTTAGTTTTGCAGAAGTTCGATCAGTTTTGTGCCCCCAGAACACAAGTTATCTATGAGCGCTATCGTTTTAACAATAGAAACCAAGAACCAGGCGAAAATATTACCAGCTACCTTACAGAGCTGCGAACGATCGCCAGAAATTGTGCANAACACTGGGCGAATAAATGACTTAAAGCTGTTTCTTTGTTGTACGTTATTACACATTGATTTCGCTACATGGTGTCAGAAGTAGGACGGTCTAATCACACGCCTAAGGATGCCTGACCCTCCAGCACAAGCACAAGCGCAAGCAGTACAAGCAGGTACGACACAGATTTTTGTTCCACCGTCAAATTTGCCGCCGCCTAAAGCGCTAAGCTTTGACGACAATTTAGCCACGACATGGAAATCGTGGAAATAAGCATGGAAACGCTACGAAATCGCCACCGGCGTGCACAAACAAGAAGGTGTTGTTCGCATCTCGACTCTATTAAGCAACATTGCCGAGGACGGTGTCAAAGCCCACGACACCTTCACGTGGAATGAAGGAGAAGACCAAAATGACATAGAGTTAGTTTTGCAGAAGTTCGATCAGTTCTGTGCCCCCAGAACACAAGTTATCTATGAGCGCTATCGTTTTAACAATAGAAACCAAGAACCAGGCGAAAATATTACCAGCTACCTTACAGAGCTGCGAACGATCGACAGAAATTGTACACATGATAAAAAAACGCCAGATGAAATATTGCGTGACCGCCTCGTGTTGGGCATACGTGACGATCGCGTACGCGAGAGACTTCCGTTTAAACGATTTGACCCTTCAACAAGCCGTGGACCCAATCAAATCTTCAGAGCAGACCCAACAGCAGATAAAACAAATGACCGGAGGAGACACGTTGGTCCACGCATTGAATAAATCCGGAAACTCAGATCATGCTGAAGACGACAAGACAAGAAGACCACCGAGAAAAGAATGTGGAAATTGTGGAATGTTCCATGGACGCGACTGCCCAGCGTATTGTGGAAGAATGAATCACTTTGCGCATAGATGCCAAGCTTCATCACGAGGAAGGAGGAACAGAGTCGCGACTGTTCATGAAACCGCTGATCCGAAACAAGATCCATACTACATCGGTTCAGTTGCTGAGAACAAACCCCAGGCACGGATGGCTGTCATCAAACTGCAAATCTCTTCGCCTNATTTGACCCTTCAACAAGCCGTGGACCAAATCAAATCTTCAGAGCAGACCCAACAGCAGGTAAAACAAATTACAGGACGAGCTTCATCAAGAGGAAGGAGGAACAGAGTCTCAACTGTTCATGAAACTGCTGATCCGAAACAAGACCCATACTACATCGGTTCAGTTGCTGAAAACAAACCCCAGGCACGGATGGCTGTCATCAAACTGCAAATCTCCTCGCCTACACCTGAGACAGAAGTTCAGTTTCAAATTGACACCGGATCTCAGTGTGACATACTCCCCGTCTGGATATACAAACAGGTTACAGGAGACAGTCAGCTTCAGCGTCTCAAACCTTGCCAAAAGGAGATCGTTTCATACACAGGAGAACATCGCAAAATCACTGGCAAAGTCAACCCCCCCGTTTGGTCTGGAAGACATCAAAAGTCACTTGACTTTAACATCATTGATGGTGATTACCAGCCAATTTTGTCATTAAACACGAGCGTTGGCCTTGGCTTTGTAAGTCTGCACAACTGCAATGTTCTGGCAATCCACGTCGACTCCCCCTCCACCACCCTGCAAGAAGAATTCACAGATGTATTCGAGGGATTAGGTGCCCTTCCAGGAAAGTACCAAATCGTTATTGACGAAAACATTCCACCGTGTTTATGCCCCGAGACGAGTGCCAGTGGCCCTGTGACAGCGCATCAAAGAAAAGCTTGACGAGCTGGTTGAATGTTAAGTGCTCGTGCCAGTCACAGAACCAACTCAGTGGGTATCCAGCATGCTGGCTATAGTAAAACCGAACAAGGTATGGATTTGTATTGACCCAAAAGACCTCAAATGTGCAATACGTCGAGAACATTACCAGCTGCCCACCATCAACGAAGTTGCATCCCGATTAGCAGGAGCCAAGAAATTTACGCTCTGTGATGCCAAGGAAGGTTTCCACCAAATCCTTCTGGACGACACCTCTAGCTATTTGACAAAGTTCAACTCGCCTTTCGGACGTTACTGTTGGGCACATATGCCCTTCGGCATATCCAGTGCTCCTGAAGTCTGGCAGCGACAAATGCATGAGTTCATTGAAGACCTCGAGGGCGATGAAGTCATCGCAGACGATTTTCTCATCGCTGGCTTTGGTGCAAGCGATACAGAGGTTAATGCCAGCCTCGAAAAGAATGAACGTGCGTTCCTTCAAAAGTGCTGTGAGTGGAACCTCAAACTTAACAAAACGAAGTTCAAGCGAGCCCAAACCGAAGTGTGATTTGAAGTTTATATGAAATAATTCATATATGAACTGCGGTTGTAGATGAGTTTGTACAGCATGAAGTGTGATTCATGGGCCATCTCCTGACCCCGGAGGGCCTGAAGGCTGACCCATCCAAAGTGGAAGCCATCTTAGAAATGCCTCTACCGAGTGACGTAAAAGGGCTCAAGAGATTCCTTGGCATGGTCAATTATTTGGCCAAATTCCTGCCCCTATTGTCTGACATGACGGAACCATTGAGAAGACTAGATGACAAGGAAGTTGAATGGTGCTGGCTTGAGCAACACCAGAAAGCATTTACCACCATCAAACAGTACTTGGCCGATGCTCTGGTATTGAAATACTATGACGTCAATGAAGAAGTCATGATCCAATGCGACGTTAGCGAGACAGGTCTGGGAGCGGTTCGTATGCAAAAGGGACAATCCATTGCCTTTGCATCCAGAGCTCTGACAGATAAAGAAACCCAATACGCACAAATCGAAAAGGAGTTATTAGCAATTGTGTGGTCAGCCAACAAGTTTGACCAGTACGTACTGGGATGCGATTGTGTGCATATCGAGTCTGACCATGAACCACTGAAAGCGGTCTTCAACAAGCCAGTTCACAAATTGCCAAAAAGGCTTCAGAGGATGCTGATGGCTCTACAGAACTATTCTTTGGATGTCCAAGACAAGAACTCATGTGGATATCTGATGCCTTAAGTCGCGCCTACCGCAACACAACTGAGTTTGTACAGCATGACACAAGTCTCGTCTGCTCAANGGAACCATTGAGAAGACTAGATGACAAGGAAGTTGAATGGTGCTGGCTTGAGCAACACCAGAAAGCATTTACCACCATCAAACAGTACTTGGCCGATGCTCCGGTATTGAAATACTATGAAGTCAATGAAGAAGTCACGATCCAATGCGACGCTAGCTAGACAGGTCTGGGAGCAGTTCTTATGCAATAGGGACAACCCATTGCCTTTGCGTCCAGAGCTCTGACAGATACAGAAACCCGATACGCACAAATCGAAAAGGAGTTATTAGCAATTGTGTGGTCAGCCAACAAGTTCGACCAGTACATACTGGGACGCGATTGTGTGCATATCAAGTCTGACCATGAACCACTGAAAGCGGTCTTCAACAAGCCAGTTCACAAGTCACCAAAAAGGCTTCAGAGGACGCTGATGGCTCTACAGAACTATTCTTTGGATGTCCAATACAAGAAAGGAGAACTCATGTGGATATCCGATGCCTTAAGTCGTGCCTACCGCAACACAACTGAGTTTGTAAAGCATGACACAAGTCTTGTCTGCTCAATTGAGGAAATTGACCATTCAGAGAACATCTCTATCGCCCCATACCGAATCGCCGAATTCAGATGCGAGACAGCAAATGATACCGTCATGCAAAGTCTAATTGCGTCAATAAAGAGTGGATGGGCGCCGTCAAAGAAACAGTGTGACCCGGTGCTTACACCGTACTATGACAGGCGAAGTGAACTCGTGGAGGACAAAGGATTAATATTCCTTGGGGAACGGCTGGTTGTACCTACATCCCTGAGGAAAGAAATGTTGAAGCAAATTCACAGGTCGAAGGATGTCTCCATCGTGCCAGAAGTCTTGTACTGGCCACTCATGAACACCGAAGTGAAAGATTTTATTTCCAAGTGCTCAATCTGCCAATCCCATAAGCCTGATCAGTGTCGTGAAGACATGCAACCTTATCCAGTACAGCCACACCCTTGGTCAATGCTCGCTGCTGATCTGTTAGAACTGGGACAACAGCAGTTCTTTCTAATGGTGGACTATTGGAGTGGGTTCTTTGAAGTACAAGAGGTAAAAGTGGCAACGTCCGCCAGTGTGATAGCTGCATGTAAAGTCCAGTTTTCACGACATGGGATACCCGACGTGCTAATCACCGACAATGGATCCCAGTTTGCGTCATCAGCTTTCACTGCATTCGTGAGCGAGTGGCAGTTTGAACATCGTACCTCCAGTCCTCGTTATCCCCAATCAAACGGCCATGCAGAAAATGCCGTGAAAACCTGCAAGAATCTGATGAAGAAAGCAAAGACAGATGGACAGGACCCCTTGTTAGCCCTTCTGGATTAGCACAACACACCAACAGAAGGGATCGGTACATCACCGGCTCAGAGGCTGATGGGACGCCGTACTCGAACCTTGCTCCCTACACATGAAAAACTCCTGCTGCATTCCAGTCACAGTGATACTGCAACCAGACTGGCTGGTCGCAAATTGCGACAGGTGCGTCAGTACAACAAGAAGTTGCGACCCCTTGAACCACTGAGATGTGGACAGGCCACCTGCATGAGACTCCCTGGAAAACCAGAATGGTCTCTGGGGACATGTACACATGTTTTGAAAAACAGGTCTTCTGAAGTCGAGGTATGTGGGAGACGTTATCGTTGAAACCGTCGACAACTGAGAATGACACCTGAAGTTCCTCTGCCCGGTAAAGAACTAAAAGTAACACTTGGTTTGGAAGCCTTGTTCTCGCAGGTTTAATTCTTTTAAAGCAAAGAAATGCAGAAATGAGTGCTACCACTTCTGTGATGGGTGTCCTTCTTAAAAGCAAGGCAATTGAGGTAATTGGCTGCTTATAAATGTATGTTTTTTCATGTAAGTTATCTTCCTACATTTGCATTTCAATGATTTATGGAGCGTTGTTTGATTTCTTTTTAATAAAATACATTTTCGAGGGCGTTCAAATTGCTATTACTTGAAGTAAAATACAATCCCTTTGATTTTGTGGTTGAATTGTTTTATCCTTGATGTCTTTTTTGTAGTTTCGTTATATCAAGAAAAGTAGCTTACATGGTGTAAAAGTTGTATCTGTTGTTATAGCTGGGTGTCAGGTGATATTCTGTGTGGTTTGTTGTGTAGGTAACAAGGGCCATGATTTTATGGCCAGGGCCTTTGTGTGGTGCCTAGTCAGTGCTATGTTATTAATCAGAATGTTTGGGTCATCAAGTCATGCACTCCTTTGTGGTGTGTGGATAGTCACCTTTGCAGCTATTATTTGGCTCATCACACTATGCTCCCTCCCCAGTGGTAGTTGTGAAGGAGACTAATGGGCAGGTGGGTTTTGCCAAGAAGTAATTACAAGTTTACAATTATTTATTAACCTCATGATAGCAACTTAAAATAATATGACATGTTTTTGTCTTTCAGGCAACCATCACCAGATTCAACAAACTGAAGTTGACAAACTCAAACACCTACATTCTGGCCACTCTGGACAAACTTGGTCAGAACCATGATCTGGATCTGGTCTGGGACTTATGAATGAACTTTTCAAGCCTTTTGAGCGTCTAAAACTTCCTGCAGGTATCAGAAACACTGCTACCGACAGAAACCAACCGATTGTTTACATCTGATGATCCTGGAAGCTGATTTACACTTGCTTGTGTTAAAGCGAGGGAATCTATTTGATGAGAACTGAAATGGAGTAAAAAATAGCATGTTTCCGCATACTGGCAGTGGGTTTTAGCCAACTATGATCCACAAGGCAGCCTCATAGTAAATGGGGCACACCACTTGGGAGCCCAGCCAAATAATTACTGACTCTTAAGTAAGGGATAACAAGTTATATTTCACAGCGATTCTTGAATGATTTTGATTTGTATAGGTAATCACATGAGGCCGAGTACTATTAGGGATTAATTGCACGAGTGTTTTCAAAATTTTCCAAAATTGCCCAAGTCGCGAAGCGACGAGGGCAATTTGGAAAATTTTGAAAACACAAGTGCAATTAATCCTTAATAGTACGA